GTTCGTGAATCAATCAGTATTCCGAAGTCAAATTGGTGTCTGGAACAAAGTTTATGTTCCGGAGTTGATGTTTTGAATTGGTGTTGTTCGAATCTACTTTTCTGTCTGTATTAATTAACTTTGTCATTTTGTTTGATGTAACGTATCATAGGACTTAGTCTTTTTGTCAACTTAGATAATCAGAGTGTTAGGAGTAACTCTATTATTCGGTCTTATGTATGTTTATGGTTTGTACTATGTACCTTATTCTCCTATATAAGGAGCATTCAATGACAAATACAAGTGACGGATTGTTCCACCAAAGATAGACATTTTCACATTTACTTCACTTGCACCTTTATCTCTAATCTATCTTTCAAACATTCTTTGTGTTTATTTATTGTCTTTACTTGATCATATTCATTGTATTATATTTAATACTTGAAGTACTTTGTTGATTCTCTTATTCAGTCTTGACTGGTCTTGACTGGAACCATTAAGTTAGTAGCAGACATTGATCTTAAGCATTAACTCAAGGTTTGAGTTTTCAATCCTTCTCCCTGCGCAACCAGATCCTTATTCTCACAGGGATAAAACATTAACGCTTCGACATAAAGATACCCTTATGCATAACATACAAACAGACTTTGACACTAATACATGACCAGGAAGGCTTCGACACCTCACAACCAATTTCGACCTCAGCATGCGCACATCACTTGATTATTTGCAAGAAAATGAAGGCGAAAGTTCGCACCCAAAAACAAGAAATCCTCCTTTACGAAGAAATCATGAAGCCGACCACAATCAACTTGTCAACGGTTACATTGTCGATAATGCAGTGTACACATAAAAATTCAGGCGTCGATTCTGGATGAGTAAGGTATTACTTTTACGGATTGTCGGCGACATCAACAATCACTTTCATATTTTCAGCAGCAAGTTAATGGAAGAGGTCAGAAAGGTTTCTCCACAATTCAAAATTCTACAGTTGCAATTTGTCAACTAGCATTCGGCATGAGACTGGACTCATGGGATGAGTATTTGAGGATGTCAGAGCAAACGACGTGGGATTGTGTATACAAGTTTGCTAAATTTGTCATTATCCTCTATCGTGGTCTTTATTTACGCAAGCATACGAGTAAATGACATCCAACAACTATATACAACACAAGAAAACAAACATTAGTTCCCTGAAATGCTTGGTACTATTGATTGTATGCATTGGGGGTGGTTAATGTGCCCTAATACGTGGCGCGGTCAGTTTATGCAAGGTGGTCAAAAGCAGCCGACAATAAATTTAGAAGCAGTGGTGTCGAATGACCTTTGGATATGGCATGCACTTTTTGGTCCATCGGGTGGCAATAACGGCATCAATGTTCTAGACTAATCGCCGATATTCAACGACATCTACCTTGGGAAATCGTATAATGTGTCATTTTCAAGCAAATGAGACGTCATATAAGCGCGGGTATTACGTTACTGATGGAATATATCCCGAGTTAGCAGTATTTGTGAAATCATTCACATGTCCAAATGATGAGAAGCGATTAAAGTTTAAGGCGACACAAGAATCTGCTAGGAAGGATATTGAGTGCACATTTGGTGTCCTAAAGAGACATTGACAGATACTCACAGTACCGATACAATCTATGGAGCACATACGAATAAGTAGCTTGTTGTACGCATGTATCATATTGCATAATATGATTTTGGAAGACGAGGGAAAATAATTTTCTGCTACGATGTGAATGAGAATTTACCAAATGTCGAAGGAGATGGTATTGGTTCGGAGGCATACATGGAGAATAGAGGGGAAGTATACGACCGGGTTGTACACCACAACCTTCATGCTAATTTGGTGGAACACATCTTCAATGCTCGAACGGATCACGTTGTCGACGATTTTGTTGAAGACGACTTGTTCGACGATACAGATGACGAATCAGGAATGTTTTAAGGAAATTCGGACGAGGATTTTAAATGACATGTCGAGCGACGATGATTAGACGTCACATATTATTCAACTATTTTTCGATTATGTTTTTTTTAAAATTTAGTATGTATTTTGTTTAATTAATGAAGTATTTTCATTTTATTATTTTTAATTAATTACATTTTATTCAATTAATAAATGACACACATCGGTTTTGTGGGGCGAGGGAAAAAATGACATGACGTTGCAAAAATGTGGTATGTGTGGTATGACATATAAAGGAATGATTTATCGGGTCAGGATTGATCTTTGTGATCAGATCACGCTAATCTCAATCCGTTTCTTCCATTTATTTCTATTCCAAGCCAACGATTCAATAATCCCTTAATACAAAACAAGGAACTATCCATACGTTGTTAGAATCAAAATAAAGAATCTCAATCTTTATAATTTGTCTTCATCCAATTATTTTCAAATAAACTCACTCAACGATGTAAAATTAACATGGGTAATTGTTGATAATCGAAGAACTTGTGAACATGAAAGAGGAGAAACCGCATAGAGTTCTATCACCACCATTTATGTGTTGTTTGATTTTCTGAAGCAAAAATTCATGAAGCCTGCGGACCACCTCTGCAACCCTCTGCAGTAGAAGAGGTGGACCAAACGGCTGCAGAGTGTAATAAGAAGCGTGTTTGTTTTTTTAACATCTGCATACTGTTGCAGATATTAAAAAATTAAAATAAACTAATTTTACAAACCGAAAATAGTTTTTTAATACGTAAAATTTAATAATATATAACATTTCGGCAACAATTAATGATATTTCAGTAAAAAATAATGATATTTCAACAAAAAATAAAGATATTTTAGTAAAAAAATAATGATATTTCATTAATAAATTATCATTATTGAATATAAAAAAACAAAAAAAAAATTTTCAACAAGAATAAAAAAAAAAAAACGAAAAAAAAAGGTGAAATAAAATTTCAACAACATATAATCAAAATTACAACAAGAAAAAAAAGAAGAAGAAGAGGTTGGAAGAGGCAGTACAAGTGTTGCGCCAAACAGAGCACGCGCAGAGGTTTTTGACTCCGAAGACTTCTAAAAAACAAACAGCTGCGAGATGAAAAGTGTTGCGCATGTGTTGCGCCGCGCAGCAATAAGAGGTTTGAAGAGGTTTTTTCCAAAAAACAAACAGCACCTTAAACTCTTCCGATGTCAGTCGTATTGCTGCAATTGGAAAATAACATGGAGATTCCAAATATAATGAACTACTAATTATTTATTTAAGATTATCAACATTGTTGGGTTCTTCGATTATCAAGAATTCCTCATGTTAGATTTAAAAAAATTTAACAGAAATATATTTTAGTGGGTTTTTTTTTTGAAGCTTGCCTTTTGTCCATACATAATATAATCTTGAATTTTAAAATTTATTTATAAATAAACATATCAATTCTTTTTTAACCATAACCGTTATTACCATGTTAACTAACTTCTATAAACCTACTCTTGAAGCCTTTCAAAAAGAATTTAATCTTGAATTTATAACGTTTCACTTCACACTTCACAGCCACTTTTGATACTTTGAGATCACCATTCATATCAGGTTAGCTTTTATTTCTTTCATGCAAATTTTTTGATGGGTTTTTAGATTTAATCCTCAAACAGTAAACATTAAGTAAATTCATCTTGAATTTGAAAATGTGGATGATTCATAAAACCTGTGTAAGCTTTTTCTTAACATTACGCTGTTTCTTGATTTTTGATTAATCGCCTGTTGATCTTACTCCAATTCTTTTTCTTGATCAAAATTCCCAAGAAAAGAAATAGTTTGTATAATTCAAAATCAAATTATCAATCTAATTAACCCACATTTATCTTTGCTTCTTTCTTAATACAACAGTCGTATTGAATTTCAACCCAATTGCTCACAATGAATCAATACCCTGTTTTTGGTATCAACAATGGTGAACGCGAATCCTTCCTTCCACAAACCGATTCAAACTACCAATCAGAAAACTCGAACAAGAACTCAAGAAACCCTGAATCAGTCAGCGCAAACCTTCCAAGAATCAACCCCTCAACCATCAACAGATTCTACAGGACTGAAATGTGTCGAATATTTCTTCAAGGGAAATGCTTTAATGGAGATCGTTGCACGTATGCTCATGACTATAAAGATTTAAAGCCAAAAACTCAAGAACTTGTAAAGACTCCTTCGGGTTTCCGTCAAATCTGCTACCAATGGAAATATAAGGGACGATGCAATTACACAGATAAATGTCGCTTTTTTCATGGGCTTTCAGGTTCTTCTTCTTCTTCTTCTTCTTCTTCTTCTTCTCTCTCTCTCTCTCTCTCTCTCTCTCTCTCTCTCTCTCACATATTAACTGTTTCATTTGTTGTTCTTGGATCCAATTGCAGAGGTAAAAACGTCAGTTGAACGCATGGAAAGTGGGAGGGAAGAACAAGAACAACCTGCTAAATCAATGATTACTGTTCCTCAACAAGAAGGTGAAGCAAAAGGGTTTGCAAAATTGGCAAATAAGAAGCTGAAAGGCATCTATGGAGATTGGATTGATGAGAAATAAGATGAATTATTATTATTATTTTTTGATCTCTTTATGGAAAGTGTTCAAATGACAACTGAATGATCAATTTCTGTCAGATACATGAGATTTAATAGTTCTTTTTTGAGATTTTTGGCGGTAATTCAACCATATGCGAATTTTGACGTTTTGTTTTTCTTGAATGTAATTGAGCATGCTTTCATGTTTTTTAATGATGTTATGCATTTGTTGGTGTAATCTATTGAACATTTGCTCGACCTTTTGATGATTTGTATTTTGGAAAGGTAATTTTTTATTCTTGTAAAATCTTTCATATTCTTGTAAAATCTTTCAAACGAATTATTTTCCTTGACTAAAGTTATCATGATTCATTAAAAATGGTGTTCTTTCGCATAAAGATAAATGGGTATTTTATTTCAGCATAAATAAAAAATTTATGTAACAGCAGCTTTTTTTTATCATCAATATGAGTCAATAATTTCATTGATTTAAGTCAACTGTAGTGGGCATAAACATTAAACAGACACAATTACTTCAAACACCCTTCAAGATTTTTCGCAAAGAAAAAAGCTTATGGAAAGAGACATATAATAGAAGCATGCGTTATCTCTCTAAATCTATCTTCTCTGTAAAATCCCTAATTTCAAGAAAACCCTACTTCTCCACCATGTCAATAAACCTCAAAGCTCCAGTCTTTGCTGGAAACCCGATAAGATCCAAAACCCCCAAACCAACAGACCCATTTTCACCCACATCAGCTTTTCAAACCCTAAAGACTCTTCTTTCAGGACAAACCCAAATCCAAGAACCATCTTCCCCTAAATTCAAAGTCCTCCCTTTCAGAAAGGGTCGACCTTTAGCCGGATCAACCGGCGATTCGGTCAAGAAATGGCATCTGGGGTGGTTAAATTTTGTCGATTTCAAGGGTGTTTTAGAAGGTAGCGACCTGAAATTGAGCGATGATTTGTTGGTGTATTTGGGTTACGAGAGTAAAGAAGAAAAAGAACACGATAGTGTCGTCTATTGGGCGATAGATGTTTCTGAATCGATTAGTTTGGTGGAGGAATTGGGGAATCGACAGTTTTGCTTCGTGGAATTGAGGACTTTAATGGTGGCTACCGATTGGGCAGATGATTCCGCCATGGGTGAGCTTGCTATAGCAGGTCACGTAAGTGTTCTTCCCCAAAAACCCAATTTGATTCAAATTCATAAACAATTACACACTTTAAACTTACAAATCATTAAAAAAATCGAATTACGAACATCTATGTAGGCAAGAGCGTTACTAGAATGGCATAATACATCTCGTTTTTGTGGATCTTGTGGAGAAATATTGGTTCCCGCTGAAGCTGGAAGAAGAAAACAATGTAAAAAAGATTCTTGCAATAAAAAAATTTACCCTCGAGTTGATCCGGTATACTAATTCACATCAATATACTTCGGTTTTTACTTTTTACCCATAATAGAAATAAAGAACGTTGTAATTTGTGCAATTTACACAATTTTTAACTACAATTTTAGGTTGTAATTATGTTAGTGATTGATAAAGAGAATGATCGAGCATTGCTTAGTAAACAATCAAGATTTGTGCCTAGAATGTGGAGTTGCCTTGCTGGCTTTCTAGAGGTATTACATATTTACATTTGACCTCAAAAGTCAAAACTTTATTATTATTTTTTTTTCTTTTTGTTGATTTTGTTTTCTTTTTAGCCAGGAGAAAGCTTGGAAGAGGCTGTGAGAAGAGAAACATGGGAGGAAACGGGTATTAAAGTTGGTGAAGTAATCTATCATAGTTCTCAACCATGGCCAGGTAATCCTAAATGCAAGAAATAACAATGTACTTTTATATTTATTTTTCTTAGAGTAAATTACATGAATGGTCCTTATGGTTTGGGGTAATTTGCACGTGTGGTCCCTAACTTATTTTTTAACTCGGAAGGTCCCTACTGTTTGTTTTTGTTGCGCGCTTGGTCCCTGTATTA